ATAAATGAGGTTCAGTTAAGACCAAATTTGTGGAATTCAAAGGATGAAAGGTATAAGGATATTAGAGCAGCAACCTTTAGAGAAGTAGCGCAATGTGTTGCAATGGGGTTCGATGCTATGAACAGCAACGATCAAAAAGATGCAAGTGAGTATTTATGCATGTATATTATACACAGACATTGTCCCCTCTGGGGGCGGGCGATCGCTCATCCCATTAAAATGTTTCCAATAAAATAAAATTATGCGTGAACATACAGGTAGGTACAGTGGCGTTTTTACGGGGGGGGGTATGGGGGTCATATCCCCCCCCCCGGGGGGGTTTTTAAAATAATTTTTTTGATTATTGAATGAACGAAATTATGAAAATGAATGTTAAAATCAATATTGAAAAAAAAAAGTGAACTTTTTTTTTTTTATAAAAATGATATCAGTTATGAGTTAGACCTCTATTGTTTTATTAAATATTAAATAATTTTGGTAACACTGATGATCACGAGTTGTGAAGCGTGCTGAGAAGCAACGTAAACGATAAACGCGTGTAAATAACAGTTATGTTGTTCAAATTTACTGTTGGGTTAAGGGAGTTTTAATGTAAATGTGATTTGTTTGATTGTAAAACATGAATACTAGTTCAATGGGGAAAAGTAATAAAGAATCCATTTTAAATTTTTTCAAAAGGAAAGTTTCAAATTCACCACCAGAAAATAATTCTATTTCTACTGGTTTGGCGACAAAGTAATATACCCTAATATTTATGGGCTTCTTAAAATATTTTGTACATTGCCTGTGTCCACCGCTACTTCTGAGCGATGCTTTTCCAGCCTAAAAAGGATTAAGTCCTATCTTAGGAATAGTATGACAGAAGTAAATATATTTTCTATTTATTATTGGAATACAATTATAAATTAGTATTAAAATAATAGTTTATTTTTTTATTATTAGACTAGACTTAATGGGCTGGCTTTATTGGCAATTTACCGGACAATAGAAGTTTCACCAGATGAAGTCATAAATGAACTTAGTATTCAAAAAAATAGAAAATTGGATTTTGTGTTGTAGTTAATTTAAAAATTGAAGTATTTTGTAAATAATCTTATTATATAATAGAACAAGGAAAAAAACGCTTTTTTGGGAAAATTACTTAGCGTGCTCGGATTTTCAAAAAATTTTTTTTTCAACGAAAGTACTCGGTCACCAGACTCCGGAAAAATTATTGGCGAAGGTCGGAAAATTATTGCTGCTCGCCCGCGAGCGTTTTAAAATTTCGACCGTTTTCGAGAAAAACGCTCGCTGACGCCAGCGTTTTACGACTTAAGGTTTGAAATTTTCATCAGACCCGCCCAATGACATTCCTGAGATATGATAAAAAAATCAATTCAATCCGTTCATTTTTCACATTTTACGAGCTTTTTTTTTAAGTCCACGCGCATGGTTGTATTATGCGCAGTGATTCATTTCTGCTGATACGTATTATGAACCTTATTTATATGGTGTATTATGTATTATTAGTAGGACACTATTTTGCATTTGCCCTATTTTTATCAAGGAATAATTTTCTTTTTTCTCATATATGATGTATGAGACTATGAGTTTATCCTTTGAATTGGGGTTCATCTATGATAACTATGATGTTCATCGTTAAATCGCAGTTACTAATATATTTATCAAAATTAAATTTTTATTTTTATTTTTAATATTAATTTTAATTTAAATTTACAGTGTGCCACTTATAATAACATGCTAAATTTTTTTTTAATTATTCTATAATATAAACACAATTATTATAATTAGATTATTAATAATTTTTGTGTATAACAGGGGTGTATTTAAGAGAGATTGGCCCCTCCTTGAACAAGCGCTATCAATATTTTTTTAGGCAACTTCTAATATATAAGGACCTAATGTCCTTTTTTTTCATCATTACTTTAATTTTAGCAAAAAAATTTCTATAACATGTTTAACAAAGTAAAAAATATTAAATTTCCTCCTAAAATAATTTTTGAATAGGCCTAAAGGGAATACCTCATTAAGAGGCTTCAACCTTATACCCAATACATTTTATTATATTCTATTTTTGAATTTTTCCGATTTTAATAATAACATTTTTAGATATAGTTTTCTATAGTTTCACTGATTCTGAAGTAATATTTTTTCTGAAAAACACTTATCGTGCCCGGCGTAGACGGGTACTTCTACCGGAATCAGTGGCCTACTTATGATGACGGCCCGAAGAGACTTACGCGCCGAAGGCGCGTAAGGCTCGAAGGGCCCCGGGTCTGGGGCGGAGCCCCAGCTAGGCGGAGCCTAGTAGATGCATAATATCATTACCTTTCATTTGGTATATTTTTTTCATAAATTTAACCCTTAACCTGCCCACAAGGGGGGATTTAAAATNTTTTAAAAATAAAATTTTTATGTTATGTTATTTAGTTTCTTGGACTTTGAGGGGTGGCGGGGAGGGGAAAGCCCCCACAAGTCTATGGAGAATTATTCATTTCATCCCCCCCTGAGCAAATTTGTAAATACGCCACTGCTCAACAATATCTAGTTAACTATGGACCATGGAATCATAAAACGTCATCTATTCTGCCTACGTCTTCTTCTACTCCTCCTGAAGTAAATATCTATCAAAGTTACCATTCGTTAGGAACTCCAGCAGAAGGAGGACAATGGCCACCTCATTCAAGCCACCAATCAACAAATTAAATAAATTAAACACAATTGTGTTAAAAAAAACTATTGTTTTTATTTATCAAATTTTTTATTTGATTTTTAACTTATGAGTTAAATGCTGAATAAATAAAAAAGAGCATTAATAAGTGAAAAGTTATTTTCCTTATTCTTGTTATTTTTTATAATTTTTTTTTTTTAGTTATTTTGTTCGTTTTCAGTGTGAAACATATGAAGAATGAAAGATTCTCCAACAATCAATAGCATAAAAATGTATAAAATATGACTTTTAAAAATTTTTATTTGTATGTTTATACTAAGAACAATTTTAATAAATGTTAATTATAAAAAAATGTTATTTTTTAGTATAAATAATTCTTGTGGCAAAAACTTTTTACCAAAAGAATAAAAATCAAAGACCATTACTAGTAGTACTAAGAAGACATTTAACATAAAATTATTGAGCACATTACTTTTATTGACTTAATGAATCATTCTACTTTACTAGCTTCGCTTATAAAGTAATTGGCAAACTGGTCCCTTAATATATTACCTGATCTATTATAAACATCAAAAGACTTTCAAAACCATTAATATTTAATGTATCTTCAAATCTAAATCCATCTCTATTCCTGACAAAATTATGCAATATACAACAAGCTTTAACAATTTTTATAGAAAGTTCTACACTTGTATTCATCGATCAATGGAAAATTCGCCATTTGTTAGAAAGTATTCCAAAAGTTGATTCTGTATATCTTCTTGCTCGAGACAAGCGATAATTGAATAATTTTTTTTTGTAATTCAAATTGCTTCGTGCATATGGTCTAAGTATGCTTTGAGATACACCAAAAGCTTCATCAGCAACTATTACAAACGGTAATGGATTTGATTGGCCGGGTAAGGGTTTCGGTGGTGGTACAAAAAGTTCTTTATCTTCTAGTTTTTTGTAAAATTTTGTTTTTTTAAAAACTGTTGAATCACAACACTTTCCTTGAGTTCCCACATCAATAAAAGTAAAATAATAATTGGCATCACAAATAGCCATAAGAACTATTGAATAGTAATGCTTGTAATTATAAAAATCTGATCCACTCTGGATTGGTTTAATTAAGCGAATATGTTTTCCGTCCAAAGCGCCGATGCAATTTACAAAGTTAGCGTCGTTTTCAAAACCCAAAGCAATTTCTTTCCATTTTTGCTGACCCGGCAAAGGCATAATTTAAGATTTAAATCCCCATAATTCGCTGCATACATCTTCTACTATTTTACTAATAGTAGATATTCCCATTCTATAGGAGTAATGAAGGTCTGTGAATGAATTACCCGATGCTAAGTATCAATAAATACGAGCTAATTAAAATATTGCGTCAATATTTATTCAAAAAACGTTAGTATGATTTCTGAGTAATTACAAATACTGTTAGATTTTACCCACCTAATATCGTGTTTTAATAATAAAAATTTCAAAATGTGAATTGTCAATTTAATTAATTTTTTTTAAGTAAAGAAAATTACTTTTATTAAACCCTTAATATTTTCCTGTAAAAAAAACATCAATTTCCCCGTAATTTTATTGATAATTATTATGTAGTTATTATAAAATTAGCTCCTTAAATAATTTATTTTAAGTAATATTTATTACTTACCTTAATGTTATGCACAGTCTTTCTGTCGAAGAAATAGGTACGCGAAAGTTACTATTCACTACGGTTAGCCCCTTTTCTAACTTTGAAAATAGTTCATCAAAAGATTTTAACGACATTCTGAAATAATTAAAACATTTCTCTTCGTGGTCTCTTAATTCAGAAAAAAGGGTTGCAAAAGCGCCATTAAGAGGTCTTTGAACCAGCATCGGGTAAACCAAAAATCGCCTATTTTTTTTTATTTTTGAAATATTTATTTTTAAAATGTGCCTGTAGGCCGCAAAAGCCAACATACATCTTATCTGTTGGACATTCATTTTGAAAATAAATAGAAATCGCTATAGCAAAAACGCGGTATAGTGTAAAACAAAAAAAAAAAAACGCTGCGCGTACAAAAATATACGCGCTAGTGTGAAACGGGCCTTAAACGACAATACTTACGGCGGATTAGTTAAACTGCTCTAACTTAATTTTTATAAAAGAAAAATTTCCCAGGAACCAGGCTAACAATCTAATCCCGCTAACATGTAACTGTGAATAACCCAGATAAAAATTCACTGCTGTCACCAGTGAAATCCGTTCAAATAACTATATGAACTATCAAATTTGTGAGGGAGACTTCACCGTTAAAACTAAAATCTAATATAATTAGAAATAAAACTGAATCGGCTCAAAGCCTCTTACCTTAACTTCTCTCGGCCGGTTGAGATTCCTCTTCGGGGAGCCAGTTAATGCGTATCCAAATGGTACGGCACTCAAGGTATATATATATATATATATATATATATTATATATTTATGTCTATGTGTATATATATTTACACAAGCGCAACAGAAAAAACAAAGAAACAACGTCGGAAGACAATAGTTGATACTTATAATATTGGATATTTTCCTTAATTCGAACAATGTTATACGTATGTAACAATGGATAACTACCCTTGTGTCGTTGGTAATATCGGTAATGAGCACACTCGCCGCAATCCAAAAAAAAACACGGAAAAACAATGAAACACAAACAGCACACAAGAAAAAGGCAAACCAGTTAAGGTCATCGTCGGAACCGAAACAGAACGCAATATCAATTATCCATATTCGGCGGCGGCGACCTTATCTCGGTGTCAAGGGCGGTGAGACAACCGATTGTCATATTAAGAGCTGTACGGCTAATATGGTGAGAGACACGTGTGAGCGCCAGCCTAGAGCGACGGGCGGTGCCGTGTCAATGTAAAATATATATTTAATATTTTATAAACAAATATTGTTCATACTCTTTGTAATTATCATATTAACCGATTAGAAAGTTTATAATAAAAATAACTGACATGTATTAAAAAAATGAATTAAAATAATATTTTTCAGATATTTTTGATTTAGACATAGTGTTTATATTAATCAATTTATTTGATGGCGTTTAATAAAATGAATAATAGATTTGATTACATTAGTGCATTGTTTATCCATATTCTACAAATTACTTACACACATGATGTCTTAAGAATAATCTTACTTCAATTTTTTGTTTGTACGTGTTTGTAAAACAAATCTGTACATATATTTAATATATCCATTCTCATCTGCAAAGGAAATAACATCTCCATGATTTAAAACTTGATATTCATTTTGGTTATTGGGAATTCGCACACAATTTACATAAGTTTCATTATCTGTTCCCTGTAGTACAGATATTGTTGATCAACTTAGAATTAATTATTCTCTTTGATAGCTTAATTAATATAAACATGCAATAAAAATTTTAAGTCTTACATTGTGAGAAATAAGATATCGGCCATTGGATTTATTTATAAAACAATGCCGTCTTGAAATAGATTCTTCTTCAATTACGATGGAACACGTACGAGAACTTCCAATAACAAACTGAAGAGTTATAATACATCAATTTAACCATTTTAAAGAAAAATAAAGTATATTGTAAAATATAAAACAAAGTTAAGATGGCTTAAAGTTAATATAAATATTATTTTCATATAAAAATATATGTATTTTTAATAAGTTCATCTTAACACTTAAATTGATTTTATTTCCTAAAGAAAAAATCTACCTCAGTCTCTCCAATAGGATAGATAGTGCCACTAGCCAAGTTCTGTAATGACGCATTACCAGTTAAGTCAGAACAACTGTTACTTCTTTTTAAGCTCANTACAAGCACTGTAATGTCGCATTACCAGTTAAGTCAGAACAACTGCTACTTCTTTTTAAGCTCATTGTGTTTTTTATCCTTTAAGATTTATGGTATTCAGTTTCAAATCTATTATATAAATACACTTTAAAGTAATGAAAGTATTTGTTTTGAATTAAAAACATTCGAAACTATGGTAGCAGATGTTAATTACATACTGATAATACAAAAAATTACAAATTTAAAAATCGCTAATTTTCAACATTTCTTCAATTTTTTTTACTTAAAATTGCCATAACTTATTTAAAAATGACCGAATCAATATAAAATTTTTTTTTTTTTAGATACCTTAGATATTTACCTATCATTCTATATATTTTTGTGAACATTTGACCCTTTAACAGCCCACAGAAAGGGTTTCAAAATGATAACTTTTTTACAAAAAATTGACTCTTTCAACTTGACTTTTGAAAATGTTCCGGAAAGACTGACACTTTTATATATATCTTAAATTAAAGCTTATGTAATATACTTTAATTAAAAAAAAAAATTTGACCTCTGGATTTGTCTTCATGGTGAAAATGACTACCCTATTCAAAAATATGATATTTTTGTGTTAAAATTCTGGGTTTTGTATTCTATTTTAATTTAAAATACCTGACAAGGGGAATACACTGATTTTCATAAATATTATATAAATCAAATTGATATAGCATAGAAAAATAAACTTATTTACAGTTTTTTGCTTTTTGAAGTCTAGAAAATTAACTTTGAAATTTGTACTAGCTTAAATAGCCAATTTTTTCAAGCGATGGTAGCAACTTAAGGTTGCCGAGTTGGTAAACTTGTATTTTACACGCATGGAGTACAAGGTTCCATCTCGCGTATGGCAAGAAAATTTTTGGCATTTTTTCTTTATTCTTTTTTAGTCAGAATAAATTTTCAACACGTTTGATTTTTATCTCATTTAAATTCAATAACTTCAATCAAGATTAAGGATCCCATCACTTTAGTCGCCCCATGCGAGAAGAAATTTCTTAGTCATATTAAAATTATTTTACTATATTTTAGATTTTAGCTTCGATGCATAGCTGAGAAGTTATTTTTTTGTGACTATCATTTATTTTCGCTACTCTAACTTGACCTATATTTTTCAACGATACGTCAAATGATTACTATTAGTTACCCTCAAAAATTGAAAAAGAAATTCTAATTTATCAATGAAACAGTTACTTATCCAATGTTCTCCATACAGACAATTAAAATCATTCATTTCTAATGTTTTCAGAGTATTTATTGACGAATCAAGTTTGATATGATAATTTAATATGATAGATTTCAACTACAAAATTAAATCATTTTACTCTGTAATTTAATAATTTTTTTACTCTATTTGTGTGTGCTACTACTAGACTATAATATTCAAAATTTGTTGGTAACATGTTGCTATATAAATCATTTCTAAAAAAAATGATTGTTAGTTTCTCCTGAATTAACAATGGATTTTTACAATTATAATCAAATTTTATAGTACGCTATTGAGTAGATCTTTTTAACCACTTTTTTAGCTTCGATACGAAGCTGAGTAGGTATTAATTTTACTATGATGTGTTTTTTAGCTTCGATGCGAAGCTGAGAAGGTATTGGTTTTACTAAGTGTTTTTTTTTTTTTTGTATCTGTTACCACTTTTTCTCAGCTCTCACCGAACCGATTTCTTTCAATGATACGTCAAAAGATCACTAATCGTATCTAGTCGAAAACATTACCCTCAAAAATTGAAAAAAATTCCCTCGTTCCCCGTAAATGGGGAAAACCTCCAAAAAAATTACAAATTTAAAAATTGCTAATTTTTTTTACTTAAAATTGCTATAATTTTTTTAAAAACAACCAAATCAATATAATTTTTTTTTATATAGATGTATGATATTACCTTTTATTTGGTATATTTTTTGTGTAAATCTGACCCTAGACCTGCCCACAGGAGAGAATTTAAAATGACAACTTTTTCACAAAAAATTAATTTTTTCAACTTGACTTTTGAAAATGTTCCGGAAGGTCTGTCACTTTTATATATATATATTAAATTAAAGTTAATGTAATGTTCTTTATTATGCAAAAAAAAAAATTCGGACTTTATTTTATCTTCATGGTGAAAATGGCTACCGAATGCTATTTTTGTGTGAAAATTTTCGATTTTGTATTTTACATTTTTAACTTTATTATGCTATAACTTTTTGAAAAATGGATGGATCAATACAATTTTTTCTTGAGAAGTAGTATTTATATAAGTCTTTCATTCGACATACTATTTTTTTAAATCGGACTATTTCTCTATATACAAGATGGGTTTAAATCTAAAAAATGCATGTAGATAGTAGAACTTTTTCAACTTAACTTTTGAAAGTGTTCCGGAAAGTCTGACACTTTTATATATATAAATATATATATATAACAGTTGACTTTATTTTGTCTTCATGAAAAAAACAGACATCAAAGTTGATAAAAAAATACGATTTTTGTAAAAAAATTATTTTTTATATTTTTAACTTTATAATGCTATTACTTTTTGAAAGATGTATGGATCAATATAATTCTTTTTTTTATAAATGCATGATGTCTTTACCTATCATTTGGTATATTTTTTTTATAAATCTGACTTTTTACCTACCTACAGAGGGGGATTCAAAATGACAATTTTTTTACAAAGAATTTACTTTTTCAACTTAAATTTTGAAAGTGTTCCGGAAAGTCTGACACTTTTATATATTTCTTAAGTTAAAGCTAATGTAATGCACTTTATTATGGAAAAAAAAAATGTTGGACTTTATTTTGTCTTCAGGGTGAAATTGGCTACTGAATGCTATTTTTGTGTGAAAATTCTCGATTTTATTTTTTTATTTTATAACTTTATAATGCTATAACTTATGGAAAAGTGAATGGATCAGCATAATTTTTTTATGGGAAATAATATTTTTTTATAATCCCTTTTTCATTCGACATACTTTATCTTATTCAGGATATTAATAATGAACTAGCAGATCATGTAGCTTTTGGAAAAATCCACCAATTTTTTAAAATTAAACAGTACTTGATCCAACTATGCCACGTCACCACTGTGCCGCGACCCCCCTGTGCTGGGTTTTATTATTTGATAATGTTTCAAAAAACCTTCTTTAAACCTACATTAAATTAAAGTTAATACAATTTACTTTAAGGTGTTAAAAAGAAACTATCCAAAAATTCGATTTCTGGGAGTTATTGAGTATTCTGAGAAAATATTTAAAAATGTATAATAGTATTTGTGTCAGCATGACGAATATATATATTGTTATTGTTTAACGTTGTTAATAAATAATAATAGTCATTCCAATAAGTCAATTTAATTAAATAAAATGTTAAATCAGACTTAATAATTTGTGACAGTTTAAAATGTGGTTAGAAAAGTAACAATATTGATAAATAAAACTAGCAGTCACTGCTATTAGTCATTTTGATTAGCAGCTATTTATTGGTATTGGGAAATAACAGTTCTGAATTCACTACTACTACTATTCCTTACCATCACTAAATTACATGAAATATTACTAAAAATATTGTATATATATATATATATAATATATATATTATATAGTATAGTATTTAATTAACTTTACAGATTCATTGACCAATAAATTTCTCCTAAAGTATAATAATCTTGGGAATATTTTTTTTGGCTTTATTAAGTACTATTGATCTCTCAATTTTTTTTAATAGAAACATACATTTTGAACTTCTTATAAAATAAAAAATAGTCTAATTAAAAGAATGGCAATTTTTAGTACAAATTATTCAAGTACCACTTTTATTACACAATAGTTATTCGGTTTTGTTCTATTTTTAACAGAAATTGTTGATATGTTTGTTGAAATTTTAAA